CCTCTCTTTTCGGTCTACTTCCTGTGCTACTTCTTTTCTTGCCAGATGTTGGTTGTTCCTCCTACAAATGTCAAGGATGAGGTGATATGCATAGAAAATGACAGAAACAGGGTAGAGTACATACTATAGATAAACGAAAGCAAAAATTTGAAATTTTCAGTAATGCGAACACTTATTGGGTCAAAATCGAAAAACACCAATCGACTTTCTCGATGCAAATAACGCTCCCATTTACCAAGATATTCTGACAAGCAAAAAATCACTACAATCACTGATTCATTTCGTTCGTATGCAATGCAAAGCGCAGTGCATACCAAATTCACAACCAATTTTTTGGCAAGCAATGCTTGAACAATACAAAACAGAGAAAGAAATCGTGCGCAAAAACCAAGAATAAGGACTCACCTTCTTTGGCGAAGTAACTTCTGCTTTCTTCTCAGTCTCACTCGTCTTCTTGTCTTGCTTTCCTGGTGTTGCTGCAGCCTCCTCCTTCACTTCCTCAGCTTTATTGTTTTCAGCGGACACACTGACATCAGCACCGGCATCAGCAGGAGTAGTTGCTGCCTGTTCACTCTTCTGCATGTCTGTTGATTCGTCCCTGAATTATTTTTTTCTTAGCATATGAAAACAGAATGTAAAGATTATCCGTACTTCACATCCGATGCTTCGCTAACTGCACTCTGCTCTTTTGGAGATTCTGGAGACTTAGCGCTCTTGCTTTCCGAATGACGTCGGAGACGTATGCCAACTTTTTTGGGCTTTCGACCAGGAGCACCCTAGATTCGATGACTGAGTTAAGGTTAAAATCAATATACGCAAACAAGGTAAATCTAACGTACTTTTTTCTTTGGTGTTTCATCAGCAGCTTTTTCTTTCTTTCCGCTTCCCTTCGGTCGACCACGGCTTTCACTCTTGATTTTAGGTGTTGTAGACATGACCACTTTGCGAGTGCTGCCCATACCGTTAGGCTGCTGATCCTCTTGTGGGACATCATGATTGGGACGTTCCTGGAAACGATCACGCAGATAAAAGAGAACTGTACTGAAGTAGAAAGCAAGTACCAACCTCAACAGAATTCTTGGCTCGAAGTGAATTATTAAACTGCTTCATGTAGCAGTTAGGATCTTCGCCGCATGCGCAATCCACTGGTACGACAGTGTCGCGGAAATCGCAATCAAAGGGGATAGTGACCTGAAGCGTGAAAATCAGCTTCGTTTGTGAAGATGAAAAAGATAAATCGCACTTCTGTTCCTTTTTCAATTTTTTCGGATGCAACAAGCATGACGTAGATGTTTCCATTTAGAAGAATATGCTTCAGAGTTGAGTTTGA